TTTCACGAGTATATTTGCATAGGTGTAATATACCGCGGCGCGCGTTGTGCTCTTCCGAGTGTCTTGGCGGCCTTGAAAGCGAACAGTGAGACAGTACAGAGAGTATGCTTCCTATTGAGGTCTTCTAAAGAAATCCCCAACGGCATCCGGACGGGGTATCCGTATGAGAAACGCCATCGTGTGGATACCATCTTGATAATAATATTGTGGTATGTCGCGTATTATAATAGCGGATTTCAAATTATCGTCTATTCTACAATGATGAGTAGTACGATATATAATAAAAATATGGTCGGAGAATGGCGTTAAATCGTATTGAAATATGCCCCTTCGTTAAAGTTGCGACCATTTCATGCGCTAAGTTGCTCTTCAGTTTGCCGCAAGCAGCATGCCCGACATCATCGAGTTCGCGCTCGGGACGATCCTCGGCAACATGAGCACGGCCGTGGTGCTGGCGCTCGTCTACTTCAACTTCCTCCTCTTCGAAGACTACTTCCGCGTCATCATCTGGAGCATCCTCTTCAGCCAGGCGCTGCGCGGCGCCAAGGAAAACGTCTGCCGCATGCTCGCCTATCTCAGCCACGCCAACGAGATCCAACGCGACGTACGTACTTGCTACGAATCGCGTAGCCTCGCCGCTCACGCAATGCTGCTAGGGCCTTCTCTACTCGGTCGTGACGCAGCTCGGGCCGTACCTCATGCGGTCGTCCGGTCCGACCGACTTGGCGCACAAGCAGCGCCGCATGCAAGAATTCATTCTCGACAACGGCATCTTCATCTTTGCGATGATCGGCGCCGTCTCGATCTACGTGCGCATGTTTAGCTGGCTCTCGTTCGTGCAGCTCGCGATCGCGCTCCTGCTCTGCGTCGTGGCGTTTGTCTGGGTCGCCGACCGGCGCATTTTTCACTACCGCATCTTTGTGTCGGACGAGGTTCTTGTCTCGACGCTGCTCTTACTGGGCTGCTGCACGATCGTACGTTCTGGGTGCATTGGCATGTGAGGTTGAAAGGGATGCCTAGGGCGTTTTTGTCCTCGTGTTTCTCGGTACCGAGAGCTACGTGGAAGGCTCCCGCGCTGCCATGCACTTTACGAGCTGGGTGCACACGAACGTCATCAACGACGAGCGCACGCGTAAGATGTGGGGCGACCAAGTGCACAACGGCAAGGCCATGGTGGCCTCGGGCCTGCGCGAGATCGAGGGCCAATACAACTCGACCATGTGGTTTGGTCCGCTCAAAGCGTTGGTGCTTTCGTACTATGACGCAAGCGACGGCGCCATGCCAGTGGTCTCGGACCCGATCATGAATGCGACGACGGTCGCCACGATACTCGACATTCCGACCAACATGACGTGGACGTCGGTCCGTTCTGCGATGGTTTTTTGTGGAAAAAATGGGTTGACGTGGCGTTTCGGTAGGTGTTTACCCTCGCGTACGCGCAGTTTAACCTGACCTCGACCGACGTGACGGACTGGACGAGCAAAGGCCTCGAGATCTCGTCGATGGCGTTTGGCTCGGTGTTTCAGATTGTGTTTTTCGTGCTCACGTTTGTGATTGCGTTTATCAGCATTGGGATCAAGGCCGTCTTTTTTGTCACGTCGCTCTTTTACCTCCTCTGCACCAAGTGGGACCCGATCGAACGCGTACGCTGAGCGCTTTCTTCGTGACTGTCGGGGCTGACGGTGTAGAAATGGCTAGTTTGTCTATGATTTGATGCCGATTTCGCCCGAGAAACGCCCGGCGCTCGTCAACTCGCTGCGACGCTCGATCGAAGGCGTGTTTTCATTGCCCATGAAGATTTCAAGTCTCCACGCGATTGTGACGTTGGTCTCGCTGAGCATGATGGTACGTCGTCTCGCGTCTTTTTTTCGATTTTTGAAAAAATACATGGAAAGGTTGATATTTCTGGGGTTAGGCCAATGATTTCGTGTACCTGGGGACCTTTATCACGTTTTTCATCTCGATCGTGCCCATCATCCCCGCGTACCTCGTGTGCGTTCCGTGGGTGCTCGCGCTGTGGTCGTCGGCGTCGATCGTCAAAGCGCTTCTACTCTTTGTCATTCATTACGTGGCGTTTTCTTGGATCGATCAAGTGCTCTACGAGAAGAGCTTGACGTCCATCAATGCGTACGTCTCGGCGCTCAGCGTTGTCTTTGGTGTCTACGTCTTTGGCCTCGAGGTACACAACAACGTCGGTCGTCTCGAATCCCTTTTTCTATCGCGGGCTCTCTAGGGCGTTGTCTTCGGTCCGCTTTTGGTCTGCGGTGTCAACTGGGCCTACGAGGTCTCCAACCACGGCATCCAAGCAGCGTCCATGGACGAAGCTGAGAAGGCCGATCGCCGCGAAGGTGCGACAAGAGGTCGTCCGGAGTTGTTTGACTCAAAAATGG